CATTGTTTTTAACCATATCCTGCATGTTCCAAAATGTTTAGTCCCTATTTTGTTTTCAAAGAATGGAACAAATTGCAGTCTTTGTGATTTGCTAATTGCAACTTTGCGAAACTCCAAAAATGACCATTTTGGTCATCCCACTTCCAAAGGACCAATGGCTCCTATGTGTTTGGTACTACAGTAGGTCCCATTTCGTTTTGTCGTCTTCACTCACGCTTTTCATGAATCACGCAGCTGTGTGAAACATATTACATCTTATCGCCACAAGGTGGCAGGTTAAGTCCGCTTTAGCTCTGCCAGCGACTTAAACGCTCAGGTATAACTCTGCGTGCAAACGTTATTTGCCTAGTGATACTATGTTGGCCGAATGGTTTGAGTTGCAGGTTAGGATCCAGGGGATCTGGGTTCGATTCTTGTCCGAGGCAATTTTGGTTGCACACCTTTTGGTTGCATGTGTGCAATTACGTAACGTTATCAGCTTGTTATCTTCTTTCCTTGTCAAAAGGATTTTTTGCTCACGTCGGGCCTATCAAAACGCGGTTTAAAGTCAAAGGATTGACTCTGTAAAACACTGTACTAACTTACTGCACTGTATTGTAAGTACTGTAACAATACAACTGTATTTTACTTTTACTTATTTTTACTTCTTATTTTTTAATAAAAAACACTCTTCTCAAAAGTTCCTTTCTGACTTCTTCTACAGTATGGGATAGCCAGCAGCAAGTGCGTTATTGAACGTGAAACATTGGAACAAAACAAACACGAGTGTACACTGTATTCTGAATACTTTTACTTTGATTAGCAATATATAGGCTGTGTATAATTACAAAAATTTAAACTACACATGTTACATATAGCTACCATTGCCATGCACAGGAGTAGCAGATCATATGGCAAACATTTTCATTAACTTGCATATAAGGCATTTTAAGCGTCCCGCACATATGCACGGCTCATTCACTCAGCGGCCTTTCGTATTAGATCCAGTGTTTTCTCCAGCGCCTGTGTGGCGTAGCAGGATTGTCCAAGACTTTCGCTTGGACGATCGGGGTTCGAGCCCCGGCCAATCCTCAATTTTTATTAGCGGGGGGAGTATATGAATCAGATTACTCCGTTACTGAATAAAGTTGCATTTTTTTCCTGCAGTTTGGTTGGTGCAGATTGTGAAGTTTACAACAGTTTACTACAGTCTAGCAACTATTTTAAATGTGTTGGCCTAATTACTAAGTATTTTTTATTTAACACTGGAGAAAACGTGCTCGGTTTTTGCTCGCCTGAGTGATAGGTTATGTGAAGATGTTTTGCATATGTGAAGATGAACTGGATTTTCGACATTCCTCTGGACTTGAGCCCTGGTCAATCTAGTTCAATACAGTTCACAAACTAAGCAGACATTCATCAGCCAACTCCATTATATTTGTAAAACACGGAGAAAGAAAGTTTTCCCCCATCATAAATTTGTATTAGCAATATCGTGAGAATGTGTTTTATGTTTAAAAGTGTCGCTACTGAATGCTATTTCAAAGTAAGTGGTATAACTTTCAAATTGTTAGAATACTCATTTTGAGTAATTGTATTCGGTAGAGTCACTGTACACTTCAAAAACTCCGCCGAGATCGGGAGCGGCATGAGGCTGCGTCAGCCCTCGCTACAACAGCAGCGTCTAAGAGCGCCTTTCTAGTAGCAATTTCTATCTGAAATCTATCAGTCATAAAGACAAAAGAGCCTGTGCACCAGCCGCGGCGGCAGGGATAGGCCTGGGTAGGCCGGTGCCTACCAGTTTTTTTCTTGGCCTACTCAAATTTGTTCTTCGCCTCTCAAGTCATTAGCCTTTTTTATTAAAAGTCATAATTTAAATATTGTTATTTTTATACACAAATTATTGCTAAAGCCTAAATGTTGCGTTCTAATGTTTTAAGAAAATATAACCCCCAGAGCGTCATCACGTTCCTACGTTGCTTCAAATATAGTCCTGTTTATTGGCTGAACAATTTTGTCCAATATCATATCACACAGCGTGAAGCTCGTTCCCGAGAACAACCAGCTATTCCTCGTCTTAAAGATTGACAACGCTCTCAAAACATTCACAACAGAGCAGCCTTTTTCATTTTAGTTTTAAGACAGTTCAGCGTGAACTTTGTGAGGTAGAGTAGCCAGAGGCCCGGGCCCGTAGGTCCCAGAGGAGGAGAGCGCGGTCAGGCCAGGCTCGCCTCGCACTGATGAGGTAAACTCTAGGCCTGTGTGAGACACACTGTGGGCCTCATGTATGAAACCTGCGTACGGCCAAATCAGGGTGTAAATGAGGCGTACGCAAAATATTACACTTTTCCGCATTTATCTATCTGGACGTGAGCGTACAATACGCAAAAAATATACGCCAGGTCTGGAGGTGGTGTAAATCTATACGCTGATCTCAACCTTCGGCACAACACACGCATGAAATTCAAGATATGGACAACAATAAACATATTCCCTCTGGCAAAATTATATGCTGTGTTTTCATTGAGGATCATGTTTCAAAATTTGAATTTGCGCATCAGAAAAAGTCTAATGGAAACACGCAAACTTCGAATAAATCACAGCTCATGATGAGAACCTTCTATTAAATCTGACTTGTGTGTGTATTATTTTGATCTGTATGTTTTTAAAATGTGAAGCGCTTTGTGATCCTGTGAAAGGCTCTATATAAATACACTTTACGCAACAGGGATGTGTGACCCATCTATTGCTGTGGCAGGCTCTGCGCTGCGTAATTACGCACGGCTATTTGTATTCCTCATTCACATCTGGTAAAGCAATGTGTTATTTCATTAGATTTGTGTAAGCCTCACACAGACACACACCCCAATAACGCATCGATGGTATTGCTCACTCACAAATGTCTCACTGCCCTGTCCAGAGTGCGCAGCGAGTGCCGTGAGAGGTCGCGCCACATGTGCAGAAGTTTTGGCTCCAGATTTTCTTTGTGAAATCTGGACCGCAAACGCTCTCTGAAGTGTACAGCGCTTCAATGCGCACTTCTACCCCGAGCCAGGCTGCGTCCAAGACGCTGCAGACGCTTCATTCATGAGAGCCACCGCTGCATAATATATATGAATTAATTAATTCATTCAATCAATCTACCATTAATTAGGAATTCTAAAACGCAAATGCACAGGAGTAGCAGATCATATGGCAAACATTTGCATTAACTTGCATATAAGGCATTTTAAGCGTCCCGCACATACGCACGGCTCATTCACTCAGCGCTCTTTGCTATTAGATCCAGTGTTTTCTCCAGCGCCTGTGTGGCGTAGCAGGATTGTCCAAGACCTTCGCTTGGATGATCGGGGTTTGAGCCCCAGCCAATCCTCAAATTTTATTAGCAGGGGGAGTATATGAATCAGATTACTCCGTTACTGAATAAAGTTGAATTTTTTTCCTGCAGTTTGGTTGGTGCAGATTGGGAAGTTTACAACAGTTTACTACAGTCTAGCAACTATTTTAAATGTGTTGGCCTAATTACTAAGTTTTTTTTTTTTTTAACACTGGAGAAAACGTGCTCGGTTTCAGGTGGGAGTTAAGAGGTTAAAAGCAGAAGATTTTCCGACAATGTTCCTAACCCTGCAAAGATAAAAAGCCAGTACAAAAGTGGAATAATTTTATCTTCATAACTTGGTGCTGATAGTGGAGTTGTATCAAAAGTCTTTAACTTGTACTCGAACCCAGGTCCTCCTGCGCCAAAGACTTGAGCTTTATGACTGGGTGTCATAAAGCTCCAGGTGGCACTGCTCACAAGTGCCACCTGGTGGTTTTTTGGGTCATTGCAGCATCACTGGGGAAAAAAATAATAAAAGACGCGTGTTTCACACGTGAGTCTCGTGCTATTCACGTGTGAAAGGCGACAAAACGAAATGGGACCTACTGTATTGTATATCCTGTGTTTGAACTGTGTGATTCTCTGATCTGATGTTGGGGGATCCATCCATCCATTTTCTTTCGCATTATCCGTTGCCGGGTCGTGGGGGCAGCAGTCTAAGCAGAGACGCCCAGACTTCCATATCCACACACACTTCCTCCAGCTCATCCGTGGGGGCCCCAAGGTGTTCCCAGGCCAGCTGAGAGACACCTCAACTGGTTCCTCTCGACGTGCAGAAGCTGTGGCTCTACTCCGAGCACCTGATTGAGCTCCTCACCCTATCTCTAAGGGAGCGCCCAGCCACTCTGTGGAGGAAGCTCATTTCGACCTCTTGTATCCACGATCTCCTCCTTTTGGTTATTACCCAAAGCTCAGGACTATAGGTGAGGGGGGAATGAAGATTGACCAGTAAATTGAGAGCTTTGCCTTTCGGCTCAGCTCCCTCTTTACCACAACGTTCTGATACAGCAACCCCATCACTGCTCACGCTGCACCGATCCGCCTGCCAATCTCACGCTCCATCCTTCCCTCAGTTGTGAATAAGACCCCAAAATACTTGAACTCCTCCACTTGAGGAAGAACTCTCTCTACCTTGGAGAGAGCAAGGCACCTTTATCCGGTTGAGCACCATGGTTTCAGATTTGGAGGTGCTGATTCCCATCTCAGCCGCTTCACCCTCGGCTGCAAACCGTCTCAGTGCATGTTGCAGGTCCTGGTTCGTTGGAGCCAACAGGAAAACATCGTCCACAAATAGCAGAGATGAAATCCTGTGATCTCTGAACTAGACCTCCTCCGGCCCCTGGCGGCGCCAAGAAATTCTGTTCATAAAGACAATGAACAGAACCGGTGACAAAGTTGGTGAATCCACAACTTGGTAAAGTCCTCCGAGACTGTTGTAATTTAGGGCAATACACAAATACAGTGTACAGTGTATGTTGAAACATGGAAGTAAATTGACTTTTTAACCATATTCAGAGTTTCACCTGTTTAATACTGTACTTTGTTAAAGGCCTTTAACAAAATGTAATAATATGAATGCAGACACAAATGACCACAAGTCTTTGGTCATTTGTCTTTTAAATGGTTGTGAAGTGATTATTACCGGTGGCTCCGAACAGCGTGTCCCGGATGTACTGCTCCAGATCCTGAGCTCGTTTGTGAATCCGGTCACCATCGTCCTCCACCTGCTCCCCGTCTGCGGACACCTTTGTGGCCTAGACAAGCAAACACATCAACAAGCTCAACAGTTTGGAAAGTTAGTAAGATCATTACAGTGCTTTGTTTAAACTGATTGAACTGAAACAGCTTGTGGAAAGAAGCTATTGGACTATGTCCGGCATCTCAGTGAACAATATCTTCTGCCACAAGGAAGAAGCTGGAACATGGCTTTTCCAGGGGCCAGAAGAGTCATTGATTATTTGAATAGTGGGATCTAAGAGTCTGGATTCATAAAGAGCCTCCAGAACAGACAGCTCACAGTCCTTGTTTAGAACTTTCCTTTCTTTGGCTGTGATGTTGCCGAACTACACAAGGGACAGCTTTCAATGGTGAAGTTAAGCAAAATCCTAAAGTTTGTGGTTCACGCATAACAAAGTGCGGAGAGTTAGATCAGGCCAGAGTGGAGAGTTAGAACAGGTCAGAGTGGAGTTACAACAGATCAGAGTGTCATGTTTTAAATACATGTGTCTGGAGTAAGGACCAAAAGAGTTTGTGGGATTGCCCATACATGGTATCATTTTTGGAAAAGAGATCTGGTCGTTGTGAGAATGAATTTGTATCTGGAGGATTTTGTGATGTCCAAGCATGGATGTGTGGTATTATGTGGAGGGAGTTTCTGCTTTCACCCGTCTCAACATGGACCGGAGGGCATTCGCGATACTGCAGCCCAAATCCTCATAACCAAAAGGCCACCCGTGTTACTTCAGCCTAAATTCACATGGGCGGTCGGGAGATTTCCCCGTAGATTTCAGTGTTAACTGAAATGTCATGTCCTCAGCTGACAGGGAACTAAAGCTTTCACAAATGTTACTTTCAGTAGGCCAAATGTATGTTTTCTAATAAGATACAGACAGCAAGTGGTGTACACACAAGATACACAGAATGACATCAAGCTTGTAAGGGCTAATGTAGTTTTAAAGTTAAAGCCCAGGTCTATTTTAAAGTTAATATATGTGGTTAATGTACCACGATCCACTTGTTTGGCGTTGTCATACAGATACAGGTACAGACATTAAGTCAGGCTAAAATGACATAGTTGGACTTACTATGGTTTGATTCAAGTGTACTGTATGAGAGCACTGTGACCAGTGACGGTAGACTGATGAGTCTAGCGTGCATGATGGACAATGCTGATTCTCAATGATCTGTATTAAAATCTCACTCCCTTCAGAACTTCACTTTGAGCATTTTACCACAGATAACAGCAACACAGAGATGGACAGTGACATCATAGCCTACCCGGCTGTGAAGCTGGTCCAGCTCAATGACCAGAGATCCCAAGTTGGAGTCGGCCAGCTGCAACAACCTTTCAGGGGCTTTCTGAGGTGACAGCATGTGCTAGAAAAAAGTAATAAAAACAAGGATTAGAAGAGTGTCTGACATGTTTGTGCTCCAGGGCATGCTTTGGAACCGTCTGGATGTGTCAGACTTGTACAAAAGTGGCTCAAAAACAGACCCAAAGTCAAGAGGCAGTTTAGAAGTTTTAATCTCCAGGCAAAATACAAAAAACAGACGGGATACGGGCTCCAGAAAACAAGACAATCTGGCAACTGAGGCAAGGAGGACACAAACTAATATACACAAGGACACAGGTGAGGCACATCAAGGGTGGGGCAGTAATCAACAACAGGAAGTAAAACTAGAGACAAGAACAAGTAAGGGTGACTTCAAAATAAAACACAGAACAGGACATGACAGTACCCCCCCGCTTAAGAGCCGTCACCGGACGGCCCAGGCACCTGAGGGTGACTGAGATGAAAATCCCTAATAAGACCCGGATCCAGAATGTTGCGAGCGGGGACCCACGACCTTTCTTCAGGACCATAACCTTGCCAGTCCACCAAATACTGGCAACCCCTGCCCCTCCGACGCACAGCCAACAACCTCCTAACTGTGTAAACAGGTCCCCCATCAACGGCAGAGTATTGTGAGCATATTCTAGCCATACCAACACCTTACTCCAGGACGAGGGATTCTGGGACGAAAGACAGCGCAGCCCAGTCTCCAGTACTTGGTTAACCCGCTCGGTCTGTCCATTGGTCTGGGGATGGTGCCCAGACAGGCTCACAGTGGCTCCAAGCAGATGGCAGAAAGCTTTCCAGAACTGTGCAACAAACTGCGGACCCCGGTCAGACAGCACGTTCCTGGGAAAACCAAACACTCGACAGATATGAGTTAAGAGTACCTCAGCAGTCTCTTTAGCAGATGGAAGCTTAGGTAATAGAATGAATCTGACCATTTTGGAGAACCTGTCAACTACTGTAAGTACGGTGGTATTACCATCAGAACAAGGTAAGCCCGTGACAAAGTCCAAGGAGATGTCAGACCACGGTCGACGTGGCACGGGCAAGGGGTGTAGGAGCCCAGAGGCTGGGGATGTGGAAGACTTGTTGCGGCAACAAACATCACAGGCCGCCACAAATTCAGTGATGTCCTTCTTCATACTGGGCCACCAAAACCGCTCTCTGGCTCTAAACATAGTCCTTTGGACACCTGGATGACATGAGATATTCGAAGAGTGAGCCCAGAGAATTACCTCTCCTCTTAAATCAGGAGTAACAAAAAGCCGATTGGGGGGTACATTTCGAGGAACTTCAACATCTTGTAAGGCCGCTCTGACTCTGCTTTCAATGCTCCAGGAAACAGCTCGGACAAAGCAGGAATTCGGCAGAATAGAAGAGCTTGAGTCCGGATGTACGCCACGAGAGAAAAGTCTTGATAATGTGTCAGGCTTCAGATTCTTAGACCCTGGACGATACGAGACGGAAAAGTTGAATCGAGAAAAGAAAAGAGCCCACCTTGCTTGTCTTGGATTCAGTCTCTTAGCTGACTTGAGGTATTCCAAGTTTTTATGGTCAGTCCAAACCAGGAATGGGTGCTCTGTTCCCTCCAATAGATGTCTCCACTCCTCCAATGCCACCTTTATAGCCAGGAGCTCTCGGTCACCAACATCATAGTTGCGCTCTGCAGGAGAGAGTCTTTTGGACAGAAATGCGCAGGGATGCAACTTGTTATCTCTCACTGACCTCTGTGATAGGATCGCACCAACTCCCACCTCAGAAGCATCAACCTCCACCACGAACTGACGAGAGGAATCGGGAAGAGTCAATACTGGGGCAGAAGTGAAGAGATTCTTAAGCTTTAGGAACGCATCCTCCGCTTTGAGGGACCACAAAAATGTACACTTGGAGGAGGTGAGAGCATGTAAAGGGGCTGCGATAGAACTAAAACCTCTTATGAACTTGCGATAAAAGTTAGCAAAGCCTAAGAAGCGCTGAACGTCCTTGCAACAGGAGGGTGTAGGCCAGTCCATAATCAGCTACAACTGATTGTCCAGGAGCCTCCTCAGGACTTGTTTGACATGGGAAATGTGGGAATCCAAATCACGAGAAAAAATCAGGATGTCATCTAAATAGACAAACACAAACTTATTTAACATGTCCCTTAGAATGTCATTGACTAGAGCTTGAAACACAGCAGGGGCATTTGTGAGACCAAAAGGCATCACTAGATATTCATAATGGCCACTAGGGGTGTTAAAAGCTGTCTTCCATTCATCCCCCTCCCTGATTCTAACTAAATGGTAAGCATTACGCAAGTCCAACTTTGTGAAGATCTTAGCCCCCTGCAAGAGCTCAAAACCAGAGAAAATTAAAGGAAGGGGGTACCTGTTCTTTATTGTGATATTGTTCAGTCCTCTGTAGTCGATACATGGCCTGAGACTTTTATCCTTCTTGCCAACAAAGAAGAACCCAGCACCAGCCGGTGACGAGGACGGACGAATGATCCCAGCTTTGAGAGTGGAAGAAATATATTCGTCCATAGCTTGCCGTTCCGGAGCTGACAGGGAGTAGAGGCGTCCTTTAGGGGGTTAAGTTCCAGGCAGGAGATCAATGGCACAGTCATAGGAGCGGTGAGGTGGAAGAGACGTAGCCTTAGTCTTGTTGAAGGCCTCTTTTAATTCAATATAGCAATCAGGGACAGAGGTCAAATCCGGGAACTGAGGATCATCTGATGAAAAGGATGGAAAGCACTTAAGACTGCAATTCGGACCCCAAGAATTTACAATACCAGTAGACCAGTCAATATGGGGGCTATGCAGAATAAGCCACGGGTAGCCGAGTATAAGTGGGTGAAGAGCAGACTCAAAAATGTGATAATTAACTTCCTCAACATGAGAATCAGGAAACTGGAGCTTGAGGGGACTTGTATAGTGGGTTATAGTACACAAGAGGCGTCCATCCAGAGCAGTAGCAGTCATGGGCTGTAACAGGGGGAGGCGAGAGAGGCCCAATTCCTTTACTAAGGATGAATCAATAAAATTGGCGTCTGCTCCAGAGTCAATTAAAACCAGGAGGCTGCGTGCACAAGAAGTGGATATTAGCTGTACTTTAGTGAGTTTACGCTTGAAACAGTCTTTGACGGCAGCAGAACTCACCAAAGTTGTAGGCTTCAGTCCGACATTCCTCTTCACTGGACAGGAGGCGAGGAAGTGGCCTAATGTACCACAGTAAATGCAGCGTCCCTCATCCAAACGACGCTGACGCTCAGCGGGAGATAAATGAGTGTGACCAATCTGCATGGGTTCTTCAGAGTCCAGGGCCGGTAGTGGAACTGGAGCAGAACTGGGAGGAACCCTTTCTCTGAGGGACACCCTCCTTTGAAGGGACAGGGCTTGACGGGAACGGGCTCGTTCCCTCTCACTCAACCTCTTGTCAATCTTTGAGGTGAGGGCAATCAATGCCTCCAACTCTGTAGGCAAATCCAAGGGAGTCAAATAGTCCTTAATTGTCTCTGAGAGTCCATTGAGGAAAGCATCAACGAGGGCTAGCTGGTTCCACCCACTGTCCGCAGAAATGGTGCGAAACTCCAACGCATAATCCAACACGCTGCGTTGCCCTTGTCTTAATGTAACCAAGGCTTTGGCTGCCTCACGCCTGGGAGTAATAGTTTGAAAAATCTGATTGAAAGTCCTGATAAAGAGGGGAAGGGAATTGCATATTGTAGAACGACGATCCGACTCCGCTGTAGCCCAAGCTCTGGCTCGACCAGTCAAATATGAGATTATGTATGCTATTTTAGCACGGTCAGAGGGAAAACAAGCTGGTTGGAATTCAAAATGAAGCTCACATTGAGAGAGGAAAGGCCGGCAGTCTCCAGTCTCACCAGAGAATCGCTCAGGGCTGGATAAACGCATGTGCGAAGAGCCGGGAGTAGCCATAGCTGTAGGCTCGGGTGGTGCAGAGGGATTATCTGATTGAGGTGGAGTAGCAGAATCAACAGGTGAAGCCTCCATCTTCTGAAGCCGATCAACAATAAAGTTCATCTGAGCAGTAATATGAGTAAAAGCCTCCATGTGGCTCTGATTAGCTGTACGTAGCTCCTCTCTGAGGTTACTCACTTGCTCTTCCTGCTGATGAAGCCTTTACCCTTGGGCTTGTATTGCTGATCGTACTGGGTCTGATGAGTCCATATCTTGGCCAGATTGTACTGTCAGACTTGTACAAAAGTGGCTCAAAAACAGACCCAAAGTCAAGAGGCAGTTTAGAAGTTTTAATCTCCAGGCAAAATACAAAAAACAGACGGGATACGGGCTCCAGAAAACAAGACAATCTGGCAACTGAGGCAAGGAGGACACAAACTAATATACACAAGGACACAGGTGAGGCACATCAAGGGTGGGGCAGTAATCAACAACAGGAAGTAAAACTAGAGACAAGAACAAGTAAGGGTGACTTCAAAATAAAACACAGAACAGGACATGACAGGATGGGGCTGGAGGAGACGAGACAAGAGTTGGGAACTACGGACAAATTAGCATGAGATAAACTGTAATGATGTCGTCATGATGTTGATGCATCAAACATCACATACAAATAAATTCTGAAGCTCGTATTGATCGTTGGAGCAAGTAGTAGTAGTATTTATTCATAAAGTGCATTTGACCGAAGAAAGTCACCCAAATGGGGGCGGTGGTCCCTCCACAAGAAGGGGGACTGGAGGGTGTGTTACAATTATCGTGGGATCACACCCCTCTGCCTCCCTGGTAAGGTCTACTCCAAGGTACTGGAGAGGAGACTTTGTCTGATGATTGAATCTCGGATTCAGGAGGAGCAGTTTGATTTTCGTCCCGGCCGCGGATCACAGGACCAGCTCTGTACGCTCCATCGAATACCCGAGGGATCATGGGAGTTCGCCCAACCTGTCCACATATGATTTGTGGATTTGAAGAAGGCGTTTGACCATGTTCCCTGGGGAGCCCTCGGGGGGGGGGGGGGGGGGGGGGGGGGGCGCAGGGGGGCAGCGGTGCCCAAAGTGGGGCTTGCAGGCCAAGGCTT